CCATGCGGCGCTCTCTCTCCTCCCTGGGGAGAGAGAGGCACGCTTCGCAGACAGCCTCGTCCCCCTGGTAGTGGGATACACCCAGGCAAAGGAAACACAGGCTGTGCTGGTCCTTGCGGGAGATCCTGGTCCTGCAGCTCCTGCACCGTCTTCGTCCGACGCCGGAGGGCGACGGGGTTCTCGGACGCGACGGGGAAGGAGACGACATCTTCAATCCGTGAGTAGTTCTTCTCTCAGTGGCGCCAGAGTGAAAAGTGGTTGGTACGGGCCGTAGAGGGCTATTTATAGATGGGACTGGCAGGTGATTGGAGCATTTAGTTCTCTCTGGCGGGAAGCAAGATGCTTCAGGAGTATACCCATAGCGAAGCCTAAGGGGCGGTAGCACCATGATGTAGAATTATTATTCTGAATGACTTATTCCTATCAACTAAGTCAGTGCGATAGTGTTCCTACACTTCGGGTCGCATGTTACGGACATAGACTGTATAAAACGTACGGTCTCTGACCATGATATAAACAGACTACTCCATGTTGTGCAGATGTGTATGTTATGAAGTTGTGCATCGCGCAGGTTTCCTCATTGTTTAATCTAACCTAAATATTGCAAACAATGCATGTTTCAGTTTCCAATACTGAAATAATATACATCTATACAATTGAACTAACTTCTAATTGGTTGCTCCACGATTGTTAACCCATTAACCAAGTATAAAACCATAGAGGGATGGTGGACAGAGAATGTGACAGTTCAGAATGATGGAAAATAAAAATCCATTGATAGAAATTATTATATGGTGATATATAATTATGACTCAAAAGCTTCCATTTCAAACTAAATGTAACACAAATTATTTAGAAATGGGTTCTAGAGAAGATGAGTTTTCATAATGACTGGTGTCACTTACACTGACAAGTGACATTTTAATGCACGGAAAATATTGCTTTTTTTTCCAATGGACGCGTTGATCATATAATATTGTGATGTCATATTGAAAACAACTGTATCTGACAAGCAGTATTTACATATAAAGTGTAATTATAAGAATACAAAATAATTACAATAAAAGCCGCGTCAAACGGCCCTCGCCGTACTGCGCAACAGAGATGGCGCTGGCGCCTCATCTGCATACAGCCCTGATGGGAGAAACACTGTATTGTAATCATTCAAATGCATATGATTAGTGAGAATGTGTCTCCATTAAGTAACATGGGAATTTTCTTTCGTTTCTATAAAAAAGTAGCCAAAAAAGGCGAGTCTACAGCGTGCACATCGTTTAATCAATTAAGATTCTGCTGCTAACTTTTGAGGCTAAACAAAAGTTACTCTGTTGCCTGGGGCCCCGGGGTACCCTTGGAACACCGCTGCATGAAGCCATGCGGCTGCCTGATCACTGCCCGATGTGTGCCAGCTGACGCATGCGCAAATGATTCAGCGCGCTCCGAGTCTCCGCCCAGAAAGCGTTTTTTTTCACAATTTTCTTGTGGATGGGACCACTCGCGGCCATCTTGGAAACCCATGAGAGCACTTTTCTTTGAACGGCGGAAATAGGCGTGACTACGTCCGTTAATATTTACGGTCTATGGCACTGACGCACCACCTCTTCATTCACCATTGTGAAAGCAATAGGCCCCTGCACCAGTTCGCTGCTCGAGTCAAATAATAAGTGTCTTGAGCAAAAACAATATAGGTCTTCTACATTGCTTGTTTGATACACAATTTTGAGTAGAGGCACGCAACCGTTTTGTTTTGGTGAGTGACGGGCACTGATGCGTCCGTCACTCACCGCAACCTCTTGCATTCACTAAATACTAATCAAAAGTTAATCTAAAAAGGTGTGTTTTGAGCCTGCTTTTAAAAACATGAATGAAAAATGTGTAAATAGCTGCTTGGCTAATTCTGGCATATTTACAGAAATCTTCATTTATATGCACTGTCCCTGTAATAAATAAATAAATAAATAATGTTCTCTGCAGCCCTGCAGGCTGTTCCATAGACAGGGACAATGTCTTCAATATTTTAAGTTATTCATATCTACTTGCTTGATCTACAAAGTTTTACATGATTTGGCCCCCCCACCAATGAGTGAGTTCATCAAGCAGAAATCCGTTAGTGGCGCTGCTCGCTTGACTCGAGCGACAGTCAGAGGAGATTCTGATCTCCAACTGAGAAGAACAGCCTTCTCCCAAAATGTCCTGTCAGTCCAGGGCGCAAAGAACTGGGACAGTGAACTTTAGGTCCTCCTCTTTTGGTCAGAACTGTTTCTCTGTCAAAGCAGCAGTGGCCTGGAGCTCACTACCTCTGTCTGTGCGGGCTTGGAACTCACTACCTCTGTCTGTGCGGGCCTGGAACTCACTACCTCTGTCTGTGCGGGCCTGGAGCTCACTACCTCTGTCTGTGCGGGCCTGGAGCTCACTACCTCTGTCTGTGCGGGCCTGGAACTCACTACCTCTGTCTGTGCGGGCCTGGAGCTCACTACCTCTGTCTGTGAGGGCCTGGAGCTCACTACCTCTGTCTGTGCGGGCCTGGAACTCACTACCTCTGTCTGTGCGGGCCTGGAGCTCACTACCTCTGTCTGTGCGGGCCTGGAACTCACTACCTCTGTCTGTGCGGGCCTGGAACTCACTACCTCTGTCTGTGCGGGCCTGGAACTCACTACCTCTGTCTGTGCGGGCCTGGAACTCACTACCTCTGTCTGTGCGGGCCTGGAGCTCACTACCTCTGTCTGTGCGGGCCTGGAACTCACTAACTCTGTCTGTGCGGGCCTGGAGCTCACTACCTCTGTCTGTGCGGGCCTGGAGCTCACTACCTCTGTCTGTGCGGGCCTGGAACTCACTACCTCTGTCTGTGCGGGCCTGGAACTCACTACCTCTGTCTGTGCGGGCCTGGAGCTCACTACCTCTGTCTGTGCGGGCCTGGAACTCACTACCTCTGTCTGTGAGGGCCTGGAACTCACTACCTCTGTCTATGAGGGCCTGGAACTCACTACCTCTGTCTATGAGGGCCTGGAACTCACTACCTCTGTCTCTGAGGGCCTGGAACTCACTACCTCTGTCTCTGAGGGCCTGGAACTCACTACCTCTGTCTATGAGGGCCTGGAACTCACTACCTCTGTCTGTGCGGGCCTGGAGCCCACTACCTCTGTCCTGTGCGGGCCTGGAACTCACTACCTCTGTCTGTGCGGGCCTGGAGCTCACTACCTCTGTCTGTGCGGGCCTGGAACTCACTACCTCTGTCTGTGCGGGCCTGGAACTCACTACCTCCGTCTGTGAGGGCCTGGAGCTCACTACCTCTGTCTGTGCGGGCCTGGAACTCACTACCTCTGTCTGTGAGGGCCTGGAGCTCACTACCTCTGTCTGTGCGGGCCTGGAGCTCACTACCTCTGTCTGTGAGGGCCTGGAACTCACTACCTCTGTCTGTGAGGGCCTGGAACTCACTACCTCTGTCTGTGCGGGAGAGTAGCTCACTAGGACAGTTTAAACTCAGCCTAAAAAACTGGCTCAAAGAGAATCAAGTCTGTAGTCATTAGTCAGATGTAAATAATTGTGTGTTGTATTGTGTCTGTGTGATTAGAGGTGTTGTATTTAACCTGTAATTTATGAATTAGGCCATTCATTCTTTCCATTTATCAATTCTTTGCACACTGTAAACCTGTCACGTTGCCTCTGCCTCAGGGACTACGGATGAAAATTAGCTTGTAGCTATGTCCGGTCTGAACATAGCTACATTTCAGACATTTATTGTACAATGTCCCTGTCAAATAAACAAATAAACAGAATACCCACATCAGAGACAGACTGCACCGGCCTCCCCACATTTAGGCATCAGTTAAAACTGCGGCTGAGGGACTCACAAATGTGTGAGCATGTGTAGTGCACTAGGGAACAGAGCAATACAATACATTGTCTCAAGTCCTTCTGTCAGTTGTTGTTTACTGTCTCAGATGTTTGTTGTTTACTGTCTCAGATGTTTGTTGTTGTTTACAGTCTCAGATGTTTGTTGTTGTTTACAGTCTCAGATGTTTGTTGTTGTTTACAGTCTCAGATGTTTGTTGTTGTTTACTGTCTCAGATGTTGTTGTTGTTTACAGTCTCATGTTTGTTGTTGTTTACAGTCTCATGTTTGTTGTTTACAGTCTCATGTTTGTTGTTGTTTACAGTCTCAGATGTTTGTTGTTGTTTACAGTCTCAGATGTTTGTTGTTGTTTACAGTCTCAGATGTTTGTTGTTGTTTACAGTCTAAGATGTTTGTACGTGTTCAGTCCTTGCACATGTCCTGTTTAGAGTCTTGTGTACATTGTATTCTTTGCATGATTTGTTTTGTTACGTCTTGTTTGTTTATATGTTCTTCTGTAACATCAACCTGCAGGGGGTCTGCAGATGGAAATTAGCCTAAGGCTATGATCTGGCATATTTACATTTGTTAAATGTGCATTAATATGCATTGTACCTCCTTTTAACACCCAAATAAATACATACAAAAGAATGTAAACTTGTATGTAAACTAGATGATATGATTGGTTTAATGACAGTCCCACAGCTGCTGCTCAGGAGCGCCAGGCTCAGATAAATGACAATTAACTGGTTCCAAAGATGAGGGAAAACATTGTAGAACATAAGACGGTACAGATGTATAAATGAATACAAATATAGGATTCATTTTGGCACATGTTTAGTGTTTGAAAGAAGAGACATTAAACATACATTAGATCTTGATTATATAAAAGGTACAATAAATATTTGAAGATAAGAAATTACTGTTCATGATGTTTGTATTAGCCCATACATCTCTTTAGATTTAAAGTAACTCTACTGGAAAACAGCATTCATTTGATTTGTACTGAAATAGATTGAACTCAAAGTGAAAGTACACAGTGTAGTTTAGGTCAGGTACAGAGATTTTGAGAACTGATGTACTTTTACTTTTCCAACAACTATGAATACAATGTGACTTTTAACATTGATGATTAACAACCACATAAAATAAATGTATGGATTACTGACCTGTAGTCTGGCATTATGGAGCATAAACTCCTGCTGCTTTTGAAAGCTTGTGTCCATTGACTTAGAGAGTAGAAACCCCATGTCTCTGTTGATCAGCTGTGGAGAGATCATTCAAAGTCACTGTTTTACAAATAGTAAAATATGCAGAGACACTTGCAGAAAAAAATGTGTCTAGGAAAAAGGTTAAGAGCTGAATTTTAGGTGTATTTCCGGCCTGAAAAGTTTGGAAACCCGTGTTCTAGATAACCTTTTGTGGCATAAGGCCTACGCCAAACATACAGGTGCATATACTGTAGAATATCCCAGTAGAATATATGGGCAGCACCTTGGCCTGACTTGATGATGATTAAAACTGATATTAGGTATAATTATCCCGCGCACATTAAGAGATATACCGTAAACAAACCACTGTCAATGACGTTTCTCAGTGACTTCTCTTCTCTGACACTGGGACCAGTTCAATTTATCTTTAGCTCTTTACATTGTCCGTGTAAAAGGTTGATTAAATACATACCAAACGCGTGTTGTTACTTGGGCCATATGAGGACTACTGACCACAGCTCCTGTGCGCATGCGCATTACAAGCCATGGCATTCTGTCGTGAAGAGTTTAGGCAAAGACGCCACCTGCTGTTAACTTTCATTTAATACTAATAACACTTCCGTTATTATTACTCTATGCAACTTCCGAATAAAGCTGGGGTACTTAAGTTTCAAACCACGTAATAATAAATCCATCTAACTATAGTTCCTTGGTCTCAAAACATTTTCAACATGCCTAATTTTGGTTTGTAATCAGCTTTGAGAGGACCACCTTCACTCAGACAATCAGCCCAAAGCTGAAGTTTCAAGAGCATATTGTCGAAAATAAATCCCGGTCTTGAGGTCGATTCTGACCAGATTGTTGATCAGCCTCAAAAAAGTTTTCTAGATTTTATAATTATAATAATACATGGGGTATTATTATAATTATAAAATCTAGAAAGGCCGTTTGAATCCCCATGGGGAATGGGATTTTGAGAGTGGAAATGTTTACTTCCTGAACCAGGAAGCTCTGCCCACTTACTCTGATTTTACAGACTGTTAACTTGAATATGTATTCAAGATAACTTGTAATTAGTGATGGAAGTCGGCCCATGAGTCGAAGGCTTGAGGTGATTCATGCTCCACTGCGCCATCATGTGGACAAAGAAATGTAATACATGCCAAGGGCCAGTAACAAATGGTGGGGTCTGAACATGGGCTGAAAGAATACAGCCAATGATGTGGAGACAGTTGTGATGTAACATGTGCTTGTGTTACTTTGTTCATGTAAGTGCTTATGCAACTATTGACAGAGTCATTTTTATTTAAAAATAATAATTTTTCAAGAGTATTTGGGCTTGTGCGATTTCTTTTTTTGCACATAATTTCACCTGCCTTTGAAAAAACCCGTTCACAGGGCGCAGATGGTGCAGGTGTACATAGATAGATAGATAACTTTATTACAGACTCGTAGTCCAGAACAAAACAAAGAAATAGACAAGACACAACACACTTAAAAAACATCCATCCATCCATTTTCTACCCTTTAATCCATTTCTGGGTCAGGGGGGTGGCAGTCAGAGATGCCACCCAAGTCTCATAGCACCAGCCCCTCACTGACCCTCTGCAGGTGGTGAGTCCACAGGAGGACGGCTGCTCTCTGAGTGTGAGCAGAGCCTTGGTCTTTCACTTAAAAAACAGACAACATAAAACAATAAAAGTCCCCAAATCTCTTCAGAGGAGGCATCTATACCAGTGTTTCCACAGAGCAGAGTTAAAACCAACATCACTGAAAGACACACTAAAATCATCACATTCGCACTATTGTCCAGGCGACACACAAACTTGTACATTAGGTTCTACGTCATGGTGCTACGTCCCTTAGGACTTCGCTAGTGGGATATCACGTGACCCCCAGGTCACACGCCAGAGAGATCAAATAATTTGATCCAATCACTAGCGGCCCTCCTCTATAAATGCCCCTGCACAAGGCCGCACCCCCTCTTTCACTCTGGCGCCGATTGAGATCTACCACAGTACTTACTTCATTCTGAGATGTCTTCCGTTGTTCGTCCGAGTTCCCCTTCGCCCTCCGGCGTCGGACGTCGTCACTGGACCACATGCCTGGGCTCTACTCCTCCGCGGCGGCCATCATGGATGCTCCTCTACCACCGCAGCCGGTCCAGAGGGTGGAGGACTTCACCTCTGTGGGCGCCACCACTCGAGGGAGGAGGAGGATACAACCCACGTTGTGCCCGCGGATGGACCCGATCGTCCATTACGCGACACGTGAGTGGCCAAAGCCCCTAGCGGCCAAGAGGCCTGCTCTGGGGTACGGCATGTACTGCAGCGTGCAGGACTGGTCCTGGACCGGCGGTGTCCCGGACACAGAGGATTCAGTCCGCATGGCCCTGCAGCCCTCTGCATCCGTGTGGCCCGGCACCAGACCTCTCCTTCCCTCCGAGCGGGACAGGATGTCTTGGCGATGCTGGATAGATGTTATGCCAATGCGGCACAGGTCGTCGCATTGGCTAACAACATGGCTTTCATCACGGGGGCCCTGGATAGGTCGCTCTCCTCTGGCCAGGCGCTCAGTGGAGACCTCCTGTCACAGGCGAGGACCACCTCGGCGGCGATCCTGCGCATGTGTCAGACGCTAGCTGTGGATGGTGGCCGCTCCATGGCAGCAGCCCAAGTCGGGGCCAGGCACCTTTGGCTTGGGCTGGCTAATATCAGGGAGGCGGAGAAGAGGCAGCTGCTGGACCTGCCCATCTCTCACACGTCCCTCTTCGGCCCGGACATGCAGGCCCTGGTGGCGAGACTGGAGTCTGCAGCCAACGACTCCGCTAGGCTAGCCCCGCACCTAGCACCGAGGCGCGAGGCCCACCAACCATCACAGAGCCGGGACAGAGGCAGAGAGCGTTCGCCCGGGAAGCGTCCTGACCCCTATCTCTGTTGTCCATCGTCCCCCCTCAACGAGGCCCCCGGGTCCAGACAGACCCACGGGAGGCTCGCGGGAGCAACGCACCCACCGCAGACCTCCCTATGGTATAGGAGGCCGGGGTGGCAAGAATTCTTTCAATAAAGGCCGACCGGCATTTCATCAGTACTCGTTGTCTGAGTCTCATTTGGGGGTATGTAACATGTCTAATGTGAAATCTGATTGTGTTACTTCCCGAGCCTAACGTTGCTTCGCTAGGCCTGCAGCCCCCAGAGCAGGGTGTGCAGTGCGCTACGCGAGCTACGAGCTCCGGTTCACTGATCCATGCTATGCCCTCCCAGAGAGAGGTCAGGCGGAGGGATCTGGTGAGTAGTGATGTGTGTGCTTCGGCCGAACACGTGCTAGCCCCTCTGAGCTACAAGGCTAACACGGGGTTTCCCACTCCAGGGGCTCGCCCCCCCCTCCATGAGGCAAGAGCCAGGGGGGGGCGGAACAGTCGAGTCACGTGTGGTGAGCAGTCCCGTACTTATGACGTCGGGCCTGCAGGACACGTGACCGCCCCCGGCGCTCACGGTGTGACGCAGGGGGCCCCCCGGCCCTTTCGTCCACCCCCCCTCCCTGCTAGGAACACCAGGAGAGGGCGGGGCCGTGACGTCTCGTGTTCCAGCTCCCGTTCCGCCCCTCACAGACTTCTACAGCATCTGGAGGGAGCAGGGCCTACTGACAGATCCGTGGCTGGAGAAAACATTGCGCAGGGGTTACGCACTGCAATTCTCCCGAAAGCCACCACCATTCCGAGGCGTACGGGCAGCACGCTCTCAGGTACGGGGATCATTAGAGGCACTACAAGCGGAGGTCTCCTCCCTGCTGAGTCGAGGCGCGGCAGTGGAGGTAGACCCACAGGACGCCACCAGGGGGCTGTACTCCCCTTACTTCTTAGTGCCAAAGAAGTCAGGCGGGGTGCGTCCCATTTTGGATGGGATCCTGGTTGCTCCGGACAATCCACATGCCCGGTGGTTCCCCTTCCTGAGGGGCATGGCGGTGATGGAGCCCTGGGCCCTCCTGGACGAGCCGGGATCACCGACCTCCTCTCCTGTTCGATCCTCCGCAGCAGGACCGGCAGGAGACGCACTGGTGGAAAAGCGTACAGCAGGCCCTCTGGCCAGGGATAGTGAGCCAGGGCGTCCACACCTAAGGGCGGCTCGTCCGCGGCCCTTAAGGCGAACCAGGACGGGCACTGTGCGTTCTCTGCACTGGCGAAAAGGTCGACCACTGGACGGCCGAACCTCCGCCAGATCTCCGCAGCTTCCCGTGGGGCCAGGCCCCACTCGTCCTGGAGTGGGCCCCCCCTGGACATCCTGTCGGCCCCCACGTTCCGGACCCCCGGGACGTGGCGCGCCCTGAGAGACAGGAGGTGAAGCGCCGCCCACAGCAGCGTCACCGTCGCCATGCGATGGAGGACGGGGGATCTGGTGCCCCCCTGCCTGTTCAGATAAGAGACCACTGTGGTGTTGTCTGTCAACAGGGGGGGGCCTGTCTAAAGCTCTGCTCGTCAACACTAAAATCATCACATTCGCACTATTGTCCAGGCGACACACAAACTTGTACATTAGGTTCCTCAAGTTGGCCTGCAGTGAGTTCACTCGAAAGGACACAAAAAGTTTAGGAGCGCTGCTTCATCTGGGCCTTTTTAGCAGCAGTCTGAGGGCATCGTTGTAGGCCACTTTCAGTCTCTGTAGGCTGGATTCTTTATAGTTCACCCACAGATGAGCGGTGTAAAGCGGGGTGCAGTATGCCCGAAACAAAGCCACTTTTACTGCATTAGAACAGGATCCAAATGGGCGTACAGCATACGGCACTGTCGATACATAACCGTCTGACAGACGATCTGTCAGGATATGACCAAGATATTTCACAGAGTTTTCAGTTTTAAAGATATTTCCAGAGAGCTTAAAGTCAGGAAACACCAGGGCTCTGTCCTCTTTTGTTCAACTGGTCATAATGACATTTTTCCTTTAGTTATATTTGATATTGTTTTGTTCACCGTACGTCAAACACACCTCAACCAGCTGCTGGAGACCAGCTGAACTCGGACTGAAGATCACCAGGTCATCAGCGTACATCAAGTGGTTGACGATACTATCTCCAGCAACACACCCATTTCTGCACCAGTTCAGTTCTTTGGGAAGGTCATTCATATAAAAATTAAATAAAATTGGAGACAGAAAACTCCCTTGTCTCACACCATTGCTGACCTGAAAGGGTGCAGACATACAGTTGTCCCATTTGACCTGCAGAGTCTGATGGGCACACCAGTAAGACAGAATTGGACTACATATTTAGGAACATTGGCTTGACACAGTTTGAGAAACTATTTGGTATGGTTAACACGGTCAAAAGCCATGGAGGCATCTAAAAAGCACAAAAAAACAGTGGATTGTCTATTTTTATATTTACTTAAAAATTCTTTTAAAGCATAAATACACATGTCAGTACCATGATGGGCTTTGAAGCCAAATTGATTGTCTGAGGAGCTAATATAAACACTGAGCCTGCTCAGAAGGATTTGCTCAAATGTTTTTGAGAGTATAATTGCCAGGGCAATAGGTCTGTATTTATCAGAGCTGCCCACTTTCCCCGTTTTATCTTTTATCACAGGAACCAACAACACAGACATCATTGAGTCTGGGATAAAACCATGTACAACAAAGGTAGAGAGGCATATGGCCAGAAGAGGAGCCAACCTCATACTGGCATATTTAAGTACTCAGCAGAAATATGATCCTTTACATATTAATTGCTTGTTGTACCTCATGCACTATAATTGAATCAACAAAGTCAACATTGTTGACAGTGTACGGTTCACTTGAGACACAGTTAAACAGTTTATAACAGTTTCTCCCAAAGTGGGGTCCGCGGCCCCCTGGTGGGCCGCGAGGGTACTGCAGGGGGGCCGCGGGAGGTCATAAAAAAAATAAAAAAATAATATAATTATTTAATGTTAAATTTATAATGTTTTGTTTGTAATATCAAAATATTTGTGTTCATTATTTGACTTGAATAATCAACTGTAATCATTTTTGTATTACAATGTTTGTAGCAGAGGCTATTTCCCCAAAATAAAATAACCAGAAGAGCCTATTCTTAATGTTGTCTTCTTGGTTATTATTTTGGGGGGCCACGCAGACCCGTCAGATTTTTAAGGGGGCCTCGGTGTTACTGAGTTTGGGAATGGCTGGTTTATAATAATGTTTTCTCCACAGTTCTACAGTGACTCCATCTACAGTGTGAGGTAGACAGGGTTTGTTATTATTCATACATTTAACATGCTTCCAGAAGACCTTTGTGTCATTATGAAGTCAGCTTGTATTGTTTCCTCATTTCTACATAGGAATCTAATGACGTACTTATTGTGCATTTGTACATTTGTTATGCTCTAATAAAGGTCCCTGTCTGGGTTTTCCTGCAGTCGGTATAAATACTGTATATAGAAATGTAATAGCAAGTTTATATACATTTGGAAATGTAAACTTTCGAGTAGAGGAACATTTGGCTCCCCCAGGTAGGAGGCTCCCCTCGGGCTCTCATCAATGAAATGACAAGTCACAGCGAGATAGAGGTCCATGTGTCTGCTGTTAAACTAACAGCTGATGCAGAAGACACACCTTTGGCCTTGTCTTGGCTTCCCTATACCTCTTCTCCACCATGGCTTTCAAAGTCTAAAAAAAGTAAAGTCTTGAAATAGTGGATCTGAGAAAAAGAACTTGTTAACATCATTTAACTTGTTCACATAAATACCTGCCGCGGGTGAAGAACATAAGATGGTGCCAAGGCTTTCACAAGCTTTCGGAAGACACTTCCCTCCACAATGGAAAAGGGCTGGGAATCCTCAATCACCATATCCACCAATGCCTCAGGCAAGACATTTTAATGAACAAACACATTCAAATAATATATCATTTCATCATTCATTTTCAACCCCTTTATTTGTCCATTTCTGGGTCGGGGGGGGGTGTGTGGCAATGAGAGCTGCCCCCAACGCTCATAGCACCAGTCCCTCTGATCTTCTGCAGGGGGTGAGTCCACAGGAAGATGGCTGCTCTGTCAAATTGTGAAACAGCCTTGATCTTTGAGCGGGGGGCTTCAGGCAATGTGGGGTTAAGTGTCTTGCCCAAGGACACAACGACAGCAGTCATTAGTGGGAGCAGTTGGAGTAGGTCCCATGGTGGGAATCGAACTCACGACCTCCAGGCTCACAGGCCAATGCTCTACCAACTGAGCTACTGTCGCCCCTCAAATAATATATATAAAGTGTAATTGTAGGACAATCATCAATTATTATTGTGATATAAAATGGCTTACCCGAGACAGGTTAGGGTTGGAATCCAAACTGCTATGAAAGGCACAATAGTGTCTTAGCATAGCTGAGGTGTTTTATTATAATATATACAGTTTATGATTATAACACAGGTGTTTGGAGCACAACAGACACTTCACCTACAATTTAAAAAAACTATCATTCAAACGTATTTAGAAAAGAGAAATGTGAGAGAGAAATAATGTGTTGTCATATTTGTGTAATCTATTATTACAGAATTATTGATATGCATTTCCTTATTAGGTGAGATCTGCTCAAAGTCGTTCGCGAGGCTTCGAACGTCACCACATACGTCACCAATACACGCCTCGACCAGTGGGGGCGGGTCCCGGCTCAAAAGTGGCCAAAATGACGTGCGCTGACATGCTGCAATACCACCCCGGGCCTGTGGGGGTGGACCCGGAAGTAGAATTAGCCAATGCTAACATATAGCATTGGCAGACCTCTCAAAAACGTCTTTACAGGATGGTCCAAAAGTTGGCTCTTGGCCCAAAGCTCTGTTCCACATGTGTGTCAATGCTGAGGGGGGTGGATTTTTTTGGACCACTCTAGTTTAGTCGCTCTGAACTTTTGAAGTCTCTCGTTTAAATAAATGGAGCTCGTGCAGCTGACGCATGCACAGATGCAATTTTTCACATTTTCCAGCCCCCGCGGCCATTTTGAATCACTGCATGAGAGCCCAATTTTTGGCCCATTAGTTAGAACTGCGGAGATAGGCATGACTACGTCCGTTAATATATACAATCTATGGTAATACCCTATCCAGTTATTATTATATATCCATGGTCTTAAACAAGCGCCGGCGATCCAAGATGGCGTCCTATTTAAATCAATGGCTTGTGCTCAGTGGCGCATGTGCCACCACGGGGACCGAAAGATTAGCGGACCTCGCCTGTATTTGGGCATTGTCTGGTCCTCCTGGTTCTGCGCAGTGGACGAGCTCCCATGATGCGTTGCACTAAATACGCGTGTGTTTTTCTCATGCACAGAGGGGCTCGGCCGCGCTTTGACCAATCAGAGCTGATCAGAGCAGAGCTTCAGTGGGAGTTAGAGCGGCCGCCAAATGAGCAGAGTTTGTGGCACTAAAGTGTGGACTTAAAGAAAACCAAAGAGTTTATGAAGAAAAAAGTTCATGATGACAAGGGACAGAATCCCCACAAAATCTGACCTTTCTGAAAGCTGCAAGGTTCTCTGTCAGGTTCTCTGTCAGCTGAGGTCGAGCTGTTTGAGTTTACATTGAGTTCTAATTGGAACATTTCTGGGTAGCCCGCATGGATTTAGTCTGGTTTAGTCTTGTTTAGTCTGCAGTACCGCGAGAATCCCCTGAGCACATGAGTTATTCAGCTCCAAGCTAGAAATACCCTATCCAGATATAGACATCATGGTCTTGTTCAGAATCAGAATCAGAATCAGAATCATTTTTATTGCCACGTAAGTAACAGGAGGTCACAGACTTGGAAATTGCTTTGGCTCAGTGCATCAGTCAAAAAGAGATAATAAAAATAAGAATAAAAACACTTCTAAAGAATAAATTTAAATATAAAATAGAGTTACAGTTACTATTTACAATATACAAGTGCACATGGTGCACACAATGTAAGGTGACAGCAGTACAGTGAAGTAAAGTGACGTATGATGGGCAGTAAAGTGACTTTATAAAGGGCGGGGGGACAGGTTAAGAAGTGTTCAAGAGTCCAACAGCAGAGGGGAAGAAACTGTTCTTGTGGCGGGAGGTTCTAGTCCTGATGGACCGCAACCTCCTGCCTGAGGGGAGTGGTTGGAATAGTCCATGTGCAGGTGAGAGGGGAGTGGTTGGAATAGTCCATGTGCAGGTGAGAGGGGAGTGGTTGGAATAGTCCATGTGCAGGGTGAGAGGGGAGTGGTTGGAATAGTCCATGTGCAGGTGAGAGGGGAGTGGTTGGAATAGTCCATGTGCAGGTGAGAGGGGAGTGGTTGGAATAGTCCATGTGCAGGTGAGAGGGGAGTGGTTGGAATAGTCCATGTGCAGGTGAGAGGGGAGTGGTTGGAATAGTCCATGTGCAGGTGAGAGGGGAGTGGTTGGAATAGTCCATGTGCAGGTGAGAGGGGAGTGGTTGGAATAGTCCATGTGTAGGTGAGAGGGGAGTGGTTGGAATAGTCCATGTGCAGGTGAGAGGGGAGTGGTTGGAATAGTCCATGTGCAGGTGAGAGGGGTCGGCTGTGATACGACCAGCCCGGCCTCGAGCTCGGGCGACGTACAGGTCCTGCAGCGATGGAAGGCTGCGGCCGATCACTTCCTCTGCAGAGCGCACAATGCGCTGTAGTCTCTGTTTGTCCCTGACTGTGGCTCCAGCGAACCACACGGTGACGGAGGAGGTGATGGAGGAGGTGATGGAGGAGGTGATGGAGGAGGTGATGGAGGAGGTGAGGATGGACTCGATGATGGCCGTGTAGAACTGCAGCTTGGCTTTCCTGAGCTGCCGCAGGAAGTACATCCTCTGCTGGGCCTTCTTGATGAGGGAGCTGATGGTCGGCTCCCACTTGAGGTCCTGGGTGATGGTGGTGTCCAGGAAACGGAAGGACTCCACAGAGGTGATGGGGGAGTCCATCACGGAGGGTGGGGGCGGGGGGACAGTGCTCTTCCTGAAGTCCACAATCATCTCCACTGTCTTCTGGGCGTTCAGCTCCAGGTTGTTACCACTGCACCAGGACACCAGCCGGTCCACCTCCCTCCTGTAGGAGACACCAGGACACCAGCCGGTCCACCTCCCTCCTGTAGGAGACACCAGGACACCAGCCGGTCCACCTCCCTCCTGTAGGAGACACCAGGACACCAGCCGGTCCACCTCCCTCCTGTAGGAGACACCAGGACACCAGCCGGTCCACCTCCCTCCTGTAGGAGACACCAGGACACCAGCCGGTCCACCTCCCTCCTGTAGGAGACACCAGGACACCAGCCGGTCCACCTCCCTCCTGTAGGAGACACCAGGACACCAGCCGGTCCACCTCCCTCCTGTAGGAGACACCAGGACACCAGCCGGTCCACCTCCCTCCTGTAGGAGACACCAGGACACCAGCCGGTTCACCTCCTCCTGTAGGAGACACCAGGACACCAGCCGGTCCACCTCCTCCTGTAGGAGACACCAGGACACCAGCCGGTCCACCTCCCTCCTGTAGGAGACACCAGGACACCAGCCGGTCCACCTCCCTCCTGTAGGCGGACTCATCGTTGTTGGAGATGAGTCCAATGAGGGTGGTGTCGTCCGTGAACTTGATCAGCTTCACGGGAGTCGTGGCTGGAGGTGCAGTGGTTGGTGTACAGGGAGAAGAGCAGGGGAGAAAGAACACAGCCCTGTGGGGCTCCTGTATTTATAATCCGAGAGTCCGAGACATTCTTCCCCAGACGCACTCGCTGCTTCCTGTCCGTCAGGAAGTCAGTGATCCACCTGCAGGTGGAATCGGGCACGTTGAGCTGGGAGAGCTTGTCCTGGAGCAGGGATGGCAGGATTGTGTTGAAGGCAGAGCTGAAGTCCACGAACAGGACCCTGGCGTAGGTCCCCGGGGAGTCCAGGTGCTGTAGGATGTGGTGGAGGGCCAGGTTAATGGCGTCGTCTACAGATCTGTTGGCTCTGTAGGCGAACTGCAGGGGGTCCAGGAGGGGGGAGGTGAGGGACTTGAGATGGGAGAGAACCAGGCGTTCAAATGACTTCATGACGACAGACGTAAGTGCTACAGGTCTGTAGTCATTGAGTCCTGTGATCCTGGGCTTCTTCGGGACGGGGACAATGATGGAGGATTTGAAGCAGGCCGGGACATGGCAGGACTGTTTTGTCCCATGTTGCTGATGTCATTGCTCAGAACACGTGTCGTGCTTGTGTGTGTCAATTACGAGTAAGTTATACTGTAACTACAATGTAATTTGCTATTTTTCATGCCTGGTGTTGTATTCTTGTTTATTATATGACTTGGACCGTAGGCGCGCTCTGATTGGCTGATTACCGGTCTGATATTTTCCCATCTCGGACCGTTACCATGACAATTTGTAAGTAGTAATCTACTTACTTAAAATTTGTCCGAACATTACGTATAACATTTGAGATCTTTCCTCGGACCGTTACCATGACAATCTGTCCACAGCCCGTATCACACAAAACCAAGTCGGACATGAACATACTTCACAAATATCTCAAAAGCATTGGACACAGACGAGAGTCATATAATAAAACATTTATTAACCTCGCCACGGCTCGGTCTGTGCATTAAGGCTCGGTCTGCACATTAAGGCCGCGGTCTGTACGTTAAGGCTCGGTCTGTACATTAAGGCTCTGTCTGTGCATTAAGGCTCGGTCTGTGCATTAAGGCTCGGTCTGTGCATTAAGGCTCGGTCTGTGCATTAAGGCTCGGTCTGTGCATTAAGGCTCGGTCTGTGCATTAAGGCTCGGTCTGTGCATTAAGGCTCGGTCTGTACGTTAAGGCTCGGTCTGTACGTTAAGGCTCGGTCTGTACATTAAGGCTCGGTCTGTGCATTAAGGCTCGGTCTGTGCATTAAGGCTCGGTCTGTGCATTAAGGCTCGGTCTGTACGTTAAGGCTCAGTCTGTACATTAAGGCTCGGTCTGTGCATTAAGGCTCGGTCTGTGCATTAAGGCTCGGTCTGTGCATTAAGGCTCGGTCTGTACATTAAGGCTGGGTCTGTGTATTAAGGCTCGGTCTGTGTATTAAGGCTCGGTCTGTGTATTAAGGCTCGGTCTGTGCATTAAGGCTCGGTCTGTGCATTAAGGCTCGGTCTGTACATTAAGGCTCGGTCTGTGCATTAAGGCTCGGTCTGTGCATTAAGGCTCGGTCTGTACATTAAGGCTCGGTCTGTACGTTAAGGCTCGGTCTGTACGTTAAGGCTCGGTCTGTACATTAAGGCTCGGTCTGTACGTTAAGGCTCGGTCTGTACGTTAAGGCTCGGTCTGTACATTAAGGCTCGGTCTGTGCATTAAGGCTCGGTCTGTGCATTAAGGCTCGGTCTGTACGTTAAGGCTCGGTCTGTGCATTAAGGCTCGGTCTGTGCATTAAGGCTCGGTCTGTGCATTAAGGCTCGGTCTGTGCATTAAGGCTCGGTCTGTACATTAAGGCTCGGTCTGTGCATTAAGGCTCGGTCTGTGTATTAAGGCTCGGTCTGTACATTAAGGCTCGGTCTGTGCATTAAGGCTCGGTCTGTACATTAAGGCTCGGTCTGTACATTAAGGCTCGGTCTGTGCATTAAGGCTCGGTCTGTGCATTAAGGCTCGGTCTGTGCATTAAGGCTCGGTCTGTACATTAAGGGTCGGTCTGTGCATTAAGGCTCGGTCTGTACATTAAGGCTCGGTCCTGTACATTAAGGCTCGGTCTGTGCATTAAGGCTCGGTCTGTGCATTAAGGCTCGGTCTGTGCATTAAGGCTCGGTCTGTGCATTAAGGCTCGGTCTGTGCATTAAGGCTCGGTCTGTGTATTAAGGCTCGGTCTGTACATTAAGGCTCGGTCTGTGCATTAAGGCTCGGTCTGTGCATTAAGGCTCGGTCTGTGCATTAAGGCTCGGTCTGTGCATTAAGGCTCGGTCTGTGCATTAAGGCTCGGTCTGTGCATTAAGGCTCGGTCTGTACATTAAGGCTCGGTCTGTGCATTAAGGCTCGGTCTGTGTATTAAGGCTCGGTCTGTGCATTAAGGCTCGGTCTGTGCATTAAGGCTCGGTCTGTACATTAAGGCTCGGTCTGTGCATTAAGGCTCGGTCTGTACATTAAGGCTCGGTCTGTGCATTAAGGCTCGGTCTGTACATTAAGGCTCGGTCTGTACATTAAGGCTCGGTCTGTGCATTAAGGCTCGGTCTGTGCATTAAGGCTCGGTCTGTGCATTAAGGCTCGGTCTGTGCATTAAGGCTCTGTCTGTGCATTAAGGCTCGGTCTTAAGGCTCGGTCTGTGCATTAAGGCTCGGTCTGTACGTTAAGGCTCGGTCTGTGCATTAAGGCTCGGTCTGTACATTAAGGCCGCGGTCTGTGCATTAAGGCTCGGTCTGTGCATTAAGGCTCGGTCTGTGCATTAAGGCTCTGTCTGTGCATTAAGGCTCGGTCTGTGCATTAAGGCTCACTCTGTACGTTAAGGCTCGGTCTGTGCATTAAGGCTCGGTCTGTACATTAAGGCCGCGGTCTGTGCATTAAGGCTCGGTCTGTACATTAAGGCTCGGTCTGTGCATTAAGGCTCGGTCTGTGCATTAAGGCTCGGTCTGTACATTAAGGCTCGGTCTGTACATTAAGGCTCGGTCTGTACATTAAGGCTCGGTCTGTGCATTAAGGCTCGGTCTGTGCATTAAGGCTCGGTCTGTGCATTAAGGCTCGGTCTGTACATTAAGGCTCGGTCTGTGCATTAAGGCTCGGTCTGTACATTAAGGCTCGGTCTGTACGTTAAGGCTCGGTCTGTACGTTAAGGCTCGGTCTGTGCATTAAGGCTCGGTCTGTGCATTAAGGCTCGGTCTGTGCATTAAGGCTCGGTCTGTACATTAAGGCTCGGTCTGTGCATTAAGGCTCTGTCTGTGCATTAAGGCTCGGTCTGTACATTAAGGCTCGGTCTGTACATTAAGGCTCGGTCTGTACATTAAGGCTCGGTCTGTGCATTAAGGCTCGGTCTGTGCATTAAGGCTCGGTCTGTGCATTAAGGCTCGGTCTGTACATTAAGGCTCGGTCTGTACGTTAAGGCTCGGTCTGTACGTTAAGGCTCGGTCTGTACATTAAGGCTCGGTCTGTGCATTAAGGCTCGGTCTGTGCATTAAGGCTCGGTCTGTACATTAAGGCTCGGTCTGTGCATTAAGGCTCGGTCTGTGCATTAAGGCTCGGTCTGTGCATTAAGGCTCGGTCTGTGCATTAAGGCTCGGTCTGTGCATTAAGGCTCGGTCTGTGCATTAAGGCTCGGTCTGTGCATTAAGGCTCGGTCTGTGCATTAAGGCTCGGTCTGTACATTAAGGCTCGGTCTGTGCATTAAGGCTCGGTCTGTACATTAAGGCTCGGTCTGTGCATTAAGGCTCGGTCTGTGCATTAAGGCTCGGTCTGTACATTAAGGCTCGGTCTGTGCATTAAGGCTCGGTCTGTGTATTAAGGCTCGGTCTGTACATTAAGGCTCGGTCTGTGCATTAAGGCTCGGTCTGTACATTAAGGCTCGGTCTGTACATTAAGGCTCGGTCTGTGCATTAAGGCTCGGTCTGTGCATTAAGGCTCGGTCTGTGCATTAAGGCTCGGTCTGTGCATTAAGGCTCGGTCTGTGCATTAAGGCTCGGTCTGTGCATTAAGGCTCGGTCTGTACATTAAGGCTCGGTCTGTGCATTAAGGCTCGGTCTGTGTATTAAGGCTCGGTCTGTACATTAAGGCTCGGTCTGTGCATTAAGGCTCGGTCTGTGCATTAAGGCTCGGTCTGTGCATTAAGGCTCTGTCTGTGCATTAAGGCTCGGTCTTAAGGCTCGGTCTGTGCATTAAGGCTCGGTCTGTACATTAAGGCCGCGGTCTGTGCATTAAGGCTCGGTCTGTGCATTAAGGCTCGGTCTGTGCATTAAGGCTCTGTCTGTGCATTAAGGCTGGGTCTGTGTATTAAGGCTCGGTCTGTGTATTAAGGCTCGGTCTGTGCATTAAGGCTCACTCTGTACGTTAAGGC